AATTTTAAGAGTCAAAAAGGTTGTGCATGAATGGGTAGGTTCAAATATTCCTGAATTTAAGCAAACCCAACTGATCTTCTTGCAAATAATTAAGTGACAAGTGCACCCCAATAAAATGAAAAATTTGCATAAAATAAAACCTACTAAAATGTTTAAAAACCAAAAACAAATGGAAGATTGGCATGAAAGCAAATATGCAATGGCTATCCTAGCAGGTTCACACATTAAAATGTCTGGGAAAAAATATCAAAATAAAACCAAAAAGAAAAAGGCAAATCAATCAAAAAAAATGGTTAATTTATGCAAAAGGCCTGGTGGTAACAGCAAAAGAAAAACTAAAGTAATGAAGCCAGAATGCGATTGGTAAGAATCAGCTTGCAAGCTGAGGGTTAGTATGCCGTGCCCTACAAATACATACTTTGATGGCTTCAGTTTTGGAGTGTTGCTGTAAGTACGACAAAGGAAATAACACATGGTAGCTCTTGGTCCAACTAGTACTTAACTCAAAGTGTTCTGCTCTTATGTCCAATAAATACAGTTGTATGAAACGTAAACATGGAGAACAACTAAAACAATTACTAATAAACTACAGACATTCATTAACTAGTGCTTGAACAGAATAGAGAGAGTTAAATGGTATGATAGAATCACTATGTAGAGCTTTCGGAAAGAACTCATATGTCAGTGAATGAAAAAATAAACACATTTCAAAAACCTGATTACAAAATAACTAGAAAGACCTTATTTTGGAACCCACAGTGAATAAGGCAAACTAAAAAACTCACAGAGAAGGGAATTAGTAAAATGAATAAGATGGGGAGGATACTTGGTGAGATACACCTGATAGCAAAGGATAGGATTACATGGATAAGTTGTTTGAGGGCCTATGCACCACTGGGTGTAAAGGTCAAAAGAAGAAGTTTAAAAAAAAAATAAAAAAAGGAGGAGGAGGAGAAATGGGACAATGAGAAGAAGAGGAGAGGAGAATTGGGAGAAGGAGAGGAACAGAAGAAGAAAGGAGCAGTGGAAGAAGAAGAGGAAGAGGAGGAGAGGTCAATCATACTATTTCTATTTCTTTTCCCTGATTCAGTGAGCGCTGATCAGTGTTTATACATTTATTTATGACTCAAGATAAAATCCCTGAATAACTACTTGCAGATTCAGCTGTACCACTGAAAGGATGATTGTGACAAGCCATGCACAATCTTCTGAGCTGGGGTTAACGTATGATAAAGCCGTGAAAATCCAGCAAATGCAAGGATAAATAAATGTAAAGAGGAACAGGTTAATTTTGTGGTAAGATGATAATCAAGAATGACTCAATGGATTTCATCAGAAAAACAGACATAAAATAAAAAAAAGGCATTACTTTCATTACTGATTAACTCTGTACAACCTAATGATGAGGTTATAACTGAAGCGTGTGATAAGAGTTTTTTTTCTCCTGAGCGGTTTGTGAATTCTGACAATCTTCCACCCTGCAATATCTTAATCAACCCTTCTGGGTTATAAATGGGATACATAGAGTTCTCTTTTCTGATTTGGAATATATGTGTTTGTCCAATACTTTTGACAATTTAATACTGCATAGGCTATGTGCTAATTACGCTAAAATAATCTCATATAACAGATTATAGGTAATTCCGTCCTGTAACAGGTCCTTTGAAGAACATCGATATCAATAGAGCCTATTTAAAAGAAACTCGGTCTCTCACCAGCTTTCCCACTTCGTGCACTTTCCTACCAAAGGTGGAACTTATATAAAATGCTCAACTTTGTGCTGATCAGCCCATGCTTCCCTTTCCTGTTCTGGCACCATGCCATCTGCTACTATATTATCTAATCCACTGTGGCCAGAATATTTCAGGTTCTGAGAACAGATACTGTTTACAAACCAATCTTCTTTGAAGTCTGTTCTTGGTCCATGATATTCTGACAATCTTTCCACAGTACTTCATTCAAAAGCTCCTATTTTCTTTCACAATGAGTGGGAGATAGTCCACGACTCACGTCCAGATGTTTCTACAGGAAAGATGCATGCTCTCAAAATGCTGACTTTGATTTCCTTGCTGCTGCTTCAACCACAGACTTTTAATGCTGTTTAATATTTGCATTGCTATGGTCATCTTCCTTTCAGCTTGTTGATGCTTACTTGTTAAGTGTTCTTTCAACTATTTTGATAAAAAAATTGTGTGATCTTTATTTGAGAATATTTAAAATGATCTTGTTTTATTATTATTTTGCTTTGTGATAAGACATCCTTAAGACATAATAATGAACAATGCGGGAAAAAATTAAATGAATTAGCATTCATGTCAAAGCTTATCTTACTAAAAAATGAAGATTTTCCAATGCAACATATCCATTACTACTATAAGATTAATTCTAATTCAATATTTTACTAACCAAAACGATGCTTTTAACATTTTTTCAGGACCAGACAATTCAACAAACGCTTCTCTGTATTTCTAAAGATAATACATAGCAGTTACTGACTGCTATTCACATCATCATGTAGCCTGTCTTTTGCAGAACGTCGCTCTCATCACAGTCTGCCTGAAAAAAACTCAAGTCTCTCGCCAGTTCTCCCGTGCTTTCATACCCAAGGACACATATATCCTGTGCCCATCTTCTTGTCGATCGGCCCCTGCCCCTCCTTCCTGGTACCTATTTACATACAGATTTACATTGAAAGATTAAAAATCTGGGGGCCCAGGTAGCGAAACGGTCAAGCCGTTTACCTCAAGCTCTGAAGGTTGTGCGTTAATTTTAATGCTGCATCATTCAGTTCAGATGCAAAGTTTACAAACCATTGGGGATCATCGCCGGATTTATAGAGTGTGTGCTATCTATGTGTGACGCCCTCAACAGGTTGCTAGTAATTCTGCGGCCATTCCCAGAACTGCAGGGAATTGGAAAAAAAATTATAGCCGGAGGAATGGTACCAGGAAAGAGGAGCAGAAGCTGACAAGTATGAAGATGGGTATAAGTGACACCATATGTAGGAAAGGGCATGTTGCGGGAGCGATGGTAAGAGACCATGTTTCTTTCAGGCAGACTGTGATGAAAGCGACGTTCTGCAAAAGGACCTGCTACATGATGATGATTGAGATGAGTTAAGAATCAACATGACAATGTCAGAGCATTCTATGTGCAGTCCATAAGCATCTTCAGCAGCTGATTCATGAGAATCTGCAGTGGCTAGTTAACGGGCTACATCAGTGCACTTAGAAAACTTCATTTAAGAAGAACATCAAATCCTTTCATCATTCCCAGTGTGGGTTATAGAGCTCTATTTTGGATGATGGAGTGGGGAGGGGGGGAGAAAAGGGGATTAAGCGCCCCCCCCCCCTTTTAATAAGAATGTTGTAAAAAGCATAATTAAGGGTTTGCTAAACTGGATGTGCTCAGCTGAAAGGTTCCTGCATTAATCTTTGCAACCCACACACCAAAATGTGTTTGCGTTGCCAAAAATATAAGTCTGAAACACTATACATTTATACTGCAACACATACACAAATAAATATTTTAAACAAAAACATCACTGAGTGGTCTGAAGGAGTGATCGACCATGAGTTAATAAAAAAAATCTGTCAGCGAAACCATTAACCTAAAAAAAACGAGCTGCAGCGATTGCAATGTTTTAATATGCATTTTTTCTTTATACTGCTAATGATGATGTCAACGCATTTGACAGGAGGCATGTGGGAAAAACCCATTAAAGGACCCTTTTGACGCTACTAGCGCAGTCTAACTTATGATGTTGACTCAAGTTTTTATAAACTAGTCAACACTCTATGCTGATGTGGTCAACATCATCCCAGCAACGTTTACTTCCCAGGACTTACCTTATACCCAGTTTCAGCTTAGCTGACCTGTAAGTAAAGGTCAATTCTGAAACAAATCTGTTTCAAAGACAATTTAAACACAAGACCTTTGGGCCAACAGGTGAACATTGGATGCTACTCTAGAGCGCCTCTTCATTATAGTAGACAGTTCTGAATAAGCTGATTATTAATACATTAATTTGCTGTCTGATATCTAGTGTTGCATCAAGGACTGTCTGATAATGTTTTGTATGTACCTAACATTAGATCTTCTCGAAGCAGGAGTTTGAAAATAATTTGAAGTCAGAGAAATATTAGCAAAATTCATTTTTTTATATCAATATTACACATATCAATATGACTGACTGACTTTCTACCCCACGAGGGCATTACACAAGCGATAAACACCCGATGACACAATGTGCCACCATGTGGGTGAGGATCACCATGGAGAGGTCCCAGAAACCGCGTTCAGCCTTTAGGTCATATTTATGGCCAGGCTATATTGCGGCCCCTGACAAGAGCCAGAGTAGGGCTTCAAAAAACGAAAAATTCCAGCCTGAAAAGGACGAGAAATTATACATATCAATATGTCTTGCAAAAAAAGTGAGGGTCCCACAAATAAATTATGCCTGATAAAACTGGGTCGCTTGTTAAAGAAAACAAATGTTAAAACTGAAAGATCCGACAATATCTCCCAATAAATGTATGTCTTCTGCTTTTACTGCTAGTTCTTCTTCTGCAATCACTTTTAAAAGTGGTGTTCAGCATACTCAATCATGGTTCACAGCTAGGTTGAGATTTTACACAGCCTTTTATTAGTTGCCTTTTATGATCCCCTTGTTAAGCTGTGGGTCTATTCTTTTGTTCTGCCAAAATGGGGCCCAATAATCTACACAGGGAAATCGTCAATAGTAAATAAATTTTTTGTTAGCTTATGCTGACTTACATAATTCATTCATATTATTTTCCTAGTTATTATTCAGTTACTGAAACTTTAAAACAGCAATGAAAATGAACCAGAATCATACAATGAAACAATCATGAAATCAATCAAATAGCACTCTACTTCTCACAACAAGCACTGAATATTAAAAGACAGCTGCAGTATTGATGATATAATTCTCACAGTTAGATATTTATACAAATGTAAGTGCAGGAAAAAGAGCTTACTTGTTTGCTGCCCTCTGGATGTCATCTGTATCATCTCCCACTTCTATCTGCTCCACAGTTGACACGAAACCATCCAACAATTCCTCTAGTTGTGTGTTCATGCTGTCTAACAGGTCTGCCTTTAATTGCTGGAGAAATAAATAAAAAGAAAGCTTTAACATTTATGCCCCGAAAACTATTAAAAAAAAAGTAATGATTCACTTAATCTTGGAAAAAAAATGTAAAAAAAAAAAGTTTTTACAGAGGTCACCAATAAATTTGTTGAAAACTTATTTATCGTCATTAAAATTTTTTTTATTTTTGCAAACATATAAAGATATATGAAAGGAGTAATCTATAAATATGTAGAAGACAAAGCATTTAAAAAAACCCACAGTCATTGGATGACTCATGCCGTAACCCGGTGACCTTTACTACAGATGCTTATGAGAAAATTTGACATCATCTTGGCTTTAAAAAAAAAGGTCATTTAGCACAAAGGAAAACCCCTCTAAATGCTTTATGGTGAACCTTACTAAGATCTACCCAGGTCAGTAAGCCCCGCCTATGTACACACTAGGTCACTTTTGATTGGTGCTTGCTCAGGCTTATCAACTTCGCTGAAGGTTACAGGGATATCCCAGTGTACTGTTTGCTTGAAAACCATTCTGTGCTGTCTTCCATTTACGTTTTCATTCTGAGAAAATTATGTTGACATTGCTACAGTGGCCATAATGCAGTGTGTTAACATCCTCTACAATGTGCAGGTGCTGCTGGGATCCTCCTTTAAAGCAGTCTTCAGACCAGAATTATACTTGTGAGTACCCACTGGTCTGTTAAAAGAAAAAAAAAATAGGCTATTTCCATATGCATAATACTCATCAAGGTGTGGAAATGGGTCTTTTAGTTATATTACATTATTTTCGAACTCACCTTTACTATACAACAGGGTCATCGTCATCATCATGTTCCTTGTCAACTGGCGTAGGTGCTCATGCGTCTCCACAGATCACGATCCCTGGTTGCCTAGAACAGCTATCTTGATGATATCCCTCCATGCCATCATTTCAGCCCATCCAGCATCATCTCTCTTGGTCTGCCTCTACTCCTTTTCTTCACTGATCTTTCCAGTTGTCACGATGTTCTCCAATGTCTAATTTCTAATTATGTGGCCAAAGAACAGTCTTTGTCTCTTTCTTATTGTTGTATAAAGAGATCTACTTTCATTAGCTTTTTTCAAGCAATCGTTGTGACTCTGGCCATCCAAGATATTCGTAATTCGTCTAGGAAACCACATCTCTGTTGCTTCCAAATTCTTCATAATTTGTTCACTGACATTCTAAGATTTGCTGCCATACAGTAGAACAGGTTCTTTGTAGAATTTTAGCACCCTCTTTCTGACATTAAATGAGAGCGATTAATTGCATAGGATATTTTTCATTTTCTGAAATGCAGCGTTCGCTAGACCTATTCTGCTTTTAATCTCTGTCACACATTTTACATCTGATGATATGATTGTTCCCAGGTATTTGAATTTATTGACTTTTTACTGACTGCAACAGGGTCCCTTGCAGAATGTCACTCTTGCCACAGAAAGTTTGAAAACCACTTGGTTTCCTGTCAACTTTCTCACTTCATGAATTTTCATGTCCATGACGTGAAAGACTAATTTCCTCCCCCTTCAGGCATATTGGACATACAGTGCTAGACCTAAATTTTATAGATCAATCAGCGTTCTGTGGATGATGTGGTCTTTACTTACCAGGACTTTGACAGCCGCTTAACTCTTTGAGTCCCAAAGTGTTTAGCATCACAGGCCCACGGGGTAGTAAAGAGAGACATAAAACCTGCACATCATGCGTTCATTGGGCTGCTAGGTAGAAACCTGTGAACCTATGATGCATTCCTTGAGACTCAAAGAGTTAAGTCTGGGTTAACCTGGCTGCTGAGGCAATTTCTGAAAAATGCTTGGCTCTGTTCACATCTGAACCCATGACACTGAGATCCACAGGCAAGTGTCTACATCGCTACATCATAGATGCTCTCCTGCATTGGTGTTCCTCAATGTTTTAACCATGTCACCCCTGGGAAAGCCCTGAATCAGACTTTTCTGTCCCTGCCACATTCCCGTAAAGTCCTCAAAACCAGCCTGTCAGTAGTGATCTTTTTCAGCGAAGTGTAGTTTAATATGACAGGTCCTATTTGCATCTGCATAGTGTTTGAGAATCCTGGATACAAAAATATTACCCAAAATAAGCATTTAATGGGTTTTACTGTGAACCAAAAAATTCCCTGTAAGCCACAATGATAGAGGTCACAGCATGTGTCACCCCATTAATTTCTTTTTATGTTTCACTCTGTGTGTTTTTACTACTCCTTTTACATGTCTTTATATATATATTTAAAAATTAACTGACAAATGTAAATAAATACATTTTTGCAAAATGTATTAGAGACCAGTGTAAACAATTTTTTTTTAAAATTCCCACTTGGTCATTGCCCATTGTTTTTACCATTTACAGGGTGGAAGAATTAAGTCCACCATTCTGCTGGCAAATCTCTGCCTCTTTTTCCATGAATCCTGAAACAAACTCCATTATTGTTCACTCCCAATCACTACATTATACAGGAATCAACTTATTTCGATACATGCTAACTACATAGTGTAATACTCAGAAAAGAATATAGCCAGGTATGAAGACAACCAAATTAGAAAAGGTAAAAAAAGATATCCACATAAGAAAATAGCCAGGTAAGAAGATGGTCAGGTAAGAAGACAACCAGATAAGAAGATAGCCAGGTAACAAGACAGTCAGATAAGAACACACCAGCCAGGTTAGAAGATGGCCAGGTAAGAAGACAGTCAGGTAAGAAGACGCCAGCCAGAAAAGAAGATAGCCAGGTAAGAAGACAGTCAGATAAGAACACACCAGCTAGAAAAGGAGATAGCCAGGTTAGAAGACAGTCAGGTAAGAAGACAGTCAGGTAAGAGGACAGTCAGGTAGAAACACACCAGCCAGAAAAGGAGATAGCCAGGTTAGAAGACAGTCAGGTAAGAAGACAGTCAGGTAAGAAGACAGTCAGGTAAGAAGACAGCCAGGTAAGAAGACAGCCAGGTAAGAAGAAGTCAGGTAAGAAGACAGGTAAGAAGACAGCCAGGTAAGAAGACAGTCAGGTAAGACGAAGTCAGGTAAGAAGACAGACAGGTAAGAAGACAGTCAGGTAAGACGAAGTCAGGTAAGAATATGGTCAGGTAAGAAGACAAGTCGGACAGCCAGGTAAGAAGATAGCCAGGCGGCAAGAAGGAGCATACCTGTGCATGATCACGAATCCTCTGAAGATTAATTTTTCTCATGGTTGAATCGCGTTTGTCTTCTGATGCAACTGCAGAGAAGAAGACAAAAGATCAGCCCCTATAGAAATCGGGTTTACAAATTATATTATGTCATTAGTAGCTTGAGAACCAGCTGCATACATACTGTCACTGCGACAGACTCAAAAACAGAATGCTGAGAATGGTGGAGAAGGGCACGTTCCATGTTAAGCGGGAAGCACTGTTTCAGAGATCCTTTGTGGTAAGCGTCCATTGTATCTTTTCTCCTAGGCACGCAGGTTTCTTGGGAAACAAACAGTAGACAGATTGGCTGGTTCTGCACCATTAGGTGGTGAACTGATGCACGACAAGCTAGATGTGGTCAGGGCCCTTAGGGAGAGGAAAAGGGGGGAGGTGGGAGGGGAGGGGGGGGGACATGAAATTTACTGCATTGTGTATAACCTGACCTTGCTACAACATTGACTAGATCACTTGGCTTGTGAATGCACAGTGCATCAATTTAAAACTGCTTTAACTGTCCTCTGGTACTGAAAAAGTTAGCTTTCGCAATAAAGCAGCAGATGCAATAGTGAAATATATGTCTGCACTGATAATATGAGAAAACTTCATGTACATCATATCAAGGCAGTATGTTTTACTACATCTGGTAGAACTGGTTATGATCTTGGAAATTAATAACTAAACTGTCAACTATTTTCTTTGCTGATGGAAGCAGTAAATATCTTTGTTGACCACATATGTACGTATTATTAAAGTGACAAGGCGAGAGTGAGGTTAATACACTGCACACCTTGAGGAAATATCAGATCCATGAGCTGGTCACTGAGCCTGTACTCCAGACAAATGGCTTCCAAAGAGAATATTTTATGGTGAACTGCGGCATAAAAACGTCTGAACAGCGGATCAACATCAAGGCACATGGGTAGTGACCCATAAGTGCTCCACTCTTCTTCTAACTCAATGAGTCCGAAGAAGCTCAACACAGTGCACAGGCTCTGTAGCACCAGTGAGGATCCCGAAATACTTTGGGTAGATTTTCAACTCTGAATTTTGCTTGGGCAGCGCCGTTAGGCTACTCTTTTTGATTTCCAACTACCAAGGAATTTTTTTACGTGTATAACAACACACATGGGCATCCGATCTCACTACCAAGAGACCAGGGGGTCCTCTAGTAGACAGAAATAACTCTGTAACTCTTAAAACTGCTCTCAAGTCATTCAGCATGTACACAAAAACATAGGAGGCTGTTGCGCAAGATTGATCTGGATAACATAGTCCTCAAACATGGTTTGTTGCCCTGCCAGGCAACAGAAATTTCATCAACAGAGAAAAGGTGGCAGGTTAGAATGAGTCATATGGCCAATCCCATCTCTAGTGTCTCTTTCCTCTGTCACTGGCAATGCTCAAGAAATGTTTAGGCTCAGATTGGACTCATCAACCATCTTTCTACTCTATCATTTTTTTTTTTAATAACTGGTCTTCATCACTTGTGACTGGCGAAAACACACTCATCTGTCACTGCTGCTCTATTTGCTTATTAACTGTGTTGGTACAGGTAATCATTGCTTGAATTTGTGCTACTCAAAGCAATTTTTTTGTTTCAACTTTAATACACGCTGAGTCTAAAAGAGTTCAAACAGTAACTCAACTGGACAAAACATAATACTTCAGATACAGTGGGATAACAACTGGACGATGCACAACAAGTTTTAAGAGTTAATCATGCAATAAATGTGTGTCAAATTATTTGGTACTGAATAAGTTAAATTGTTTATTTTAATTGTTATCACAATTATGTGCATATTAAATTATTAAATAACTGATGCAGACTTATCATTAGGAAGAATTGTGGCATCACTATAATAATTATATTCAAAAATTTTGAAATTGTTCTTTTCTTTCAACATAAAAGAAAGATTATGAAATAAAATCTCAATTTTAACTTAATGTTAAAGACTACTGAATGCTGTTTCTCATTCCCACAATGAAGACAATACATTTATGGGCTATCCTCCGAATTACGGTCCTAAATTATCAAGGCGGAAAATATACCCTAACAGGGCCTCAGTCACGTTGTCAATTGCGCACTTCTTGGGACTTTACCGCCACCGCTGAGAGTGGATTGGGGCTAAACTAGATGGCTAGGACTCACAGGCAAATAAAATTAAGGAAGCTGCAGGAGATGTGGCAGCTGCTGCTCGTGAGCCCCAGCCATCTAGTTTAGCCCCAATACACGCCGTCACGCGGCATGGGGATACTCTCGGCGGTGGCGGAAGTTGCCGGAAGTGCGCAATTTAAGACAATGGAAGTGCACAATTGACATGTGACTGAGGCCCTGTTAGGGTATATTTTCCGCCTAATTTAGGACCGTTTTTTGGAGGATAGCCCATTTATGTTTTCATCAGGCACATTGTCATAAGCCAATCTCACAGAGATAGAGCATTTGTATGATCTGTGTAAATATACATGCTTGTTAGTTACTACATACCATAATATTGGTGTTTCTTTTCCAATTTATTTTATTTATCAGCAGGTGTATGAAAGAACCACACAAATGTAATGGGGAATGGTGAAAATGGTTGCACACTTCATTATTTATGAAAAAACATAAAAGTATAAGAATGAGTTTTATTTATTTGTCACTTTAAAAATTATCACCACTCAGCTTTGTTAGCCTTTTGTGTTAAGTTGGTAATGATATCATATAGTTCATTTACCTTTTAATTTACCTTTGTTAAGGAAGGTTAAGTTCAATTTTTCAGTTTTAATCATTAAAATTAAATAATTAAAAGCAGCTGAGAAATGTACAGCTTGTAAGTACTTCCCGCAAGTAAAGTCTGCAGTCTTCAGCTGTTTTGGTGTTTTGTTTACTGCTTCAAAGTGGAAAATCAAAATAACTATAAAGTGGTTACATGGGAAAATAAATATGTTATTAGCAACAAGCACTACAAATATATATTATTTAACAGGAATAATAATAAGGCTGCCATTTGCGCTTTTTATTTGATTCTGAGAAATTTTTCACTCAAAACAAATTAATTAATTTAATTAACTTAAATAAAACAACACAACAACTTACATTTGGCTTCTCCATTCATATCATGACACGCATTTATGTCGTTGTCCATGATTATAAAGCGAAACGTCTTGTAAAGATGTATCAAAGAAGGTCTTTAACAGAATCCTAGAAAGTCGGTAAGTCCACGAAGATGAAAGTTTTCGGTCAGAGTTGAGTGACACGATTGTCACTGGGCCTTCTTTCTGACGATGTTTTCATTGGGGTCGTGGCCGTGCCCCCAAATGTACTTCCTGTTCAACCGGTGTATCGTTGAAATAGACTCCTTCGTAAATAAAGATAGGGTGGATAATTCTGCTTAGCGTTCACGGGTCATAAGCTTGGGCGGAACGGTCTAGTGTTAGTCCGTTCCTAGACTTTTGTTTTTTTCTAAATATATAGTTTGCATGTACATCCGTTTTACATATCTAATTTATTTGTATACTGTTGGTTCCTCGCTTCTCGGGCAGAAACGCTCCGACTGAAAGAAAACACCCTAATTAGTCGGAGAAAGATATGCAGAAATGAGAGAAATACATGGACAACTGCTAAATTCTGGTGATACTGTAATCAGAGCTTCTCTGTGTATACCCTAGTATTTATTTTACAATTATCCAGTTGTGCCGCTGTACTCTACAAAAGGTTCAGTGGTTAATCGTCAAATCCTGCCAGTCCTTTGCAGTCTATTTGATATCATGAATGGAATCCAGTCCAGCTTTTGTCCTCTCTCAATAACTTTCAAGTTTTCTCATGGAGTCCTCGCCTCCTTTGTCCAGTTGTTTTCTATTTCACGTCCTCTTTTTTGATTCTCTACTGCCTATTTGTCTTCTTGACTTGCGTTGGTTTCGACAGTGATATCGAGATTCCGACCGCCGGGAGAGCAATGGCAAACTACTGGAGGTAAATTTGCCTAGAAAAACCATACCAGCCTCACAAAAAATGTATGATTGGGTTGGTTCTGCAACATCCTGTAAAGGATACGCAACTAACTTTTAACTACAACTATTTAGGATTGTACATTGATAACTTCTCTATTTATTTAGAAGGAATGTGATGACAGTAAAATATCTAAATTTGACTAATCGTTGATGTAAGGTTTAGAATCGTAAAGCATATTAGAAGTATAGCAGAC